ACATGTGACACATGAGGATAGAGACTCTGTGCACAGGGTGGGGCCAGTAAACCACCATGAACACAACAGTCATAGTCACTCTGAAAATACTGACTATAACAAAGAGGCTCATACAGGTATTCAGTGCATAATGTATTATGTATACAATAGTAAATAGAAATTACCTTTATTCTTCTCCTTCATTGTTTTAGCAGTCCATCATGTAAATGCCAATCATGCACAAGAGTCTCATGAACAAACAACTGAGTATGAGGAGGGACATGATATGCACTCTCCAGTACACAAAGGTACATCTAGACCAGACCAGTACTTTCAAATATAGAGGCAATACATTTTGATGGTGCTGATAGTGTACTTGCTCATTTTCAGTCAGCCCTCATGGACACAACACCCACGGTCGCACCCCAAACTCTCCTGAACATAAGGAGCAAGATCAAAGCCATTTGGGTATAAAATGTAGGTTATAATATTTTAGTTTGATTATTGTTTTTGTTTTACAACATATAGGTATCATGATTGCTTCAGTTAGATATGAATTAAACATAATATTTTGTATGGAAGTATGGAACTGAATATATTCTAATAATTTACTTCTGCAAAGCGAATGACCGCCATGCCCATGAGGCATACAAACAGACCAAGCCTGAACATGAAGTGGGCCATAATGCACAAACAACATCAGAACACAAAGGTATGTGCGCCTGCAGCTGCAGAGGACAATGCTGACTGTCTCACAGTGTCCTAACTTGTCTCTCACTATAGTATGTCCATTTATATTCAGCAAACCTTCTTGGACATGAGACTCACAGACACAGTTCCAGCTCTTCTAAACATAAGGAGCTAGATCATAATCACAGAGATATTTAATGTGGAACTTACTGTAAAATGTATTATTATATGTGGCGGGTGCACAAAATAAATACTTTATTGGCTTTACTAACTCTATTACTGCACAATTTCCATAGAGGTCCATCAAGCAAACCACCATCATGAAGATACATTCAGCTTTCCAGAACATAAGGAAGAAGGTCATAGTCATGAAGGTACTTAACTGAGTTTAGTTGACCCTATCTTTCGTGTGCACATTTACATGCTAACATTTACATAGATCTCACAGACAACCATCAAGCACCTGAGACACACAGACACACAGGGACTGAACAGGACAACAGGAACACCGCTCATGCAGCACCCAAACTCAAAGGTATCTGTAACTCTCAGCACATAAAAAAAAAAATGTAATAGTGAGAAATATATATTGTTTTATTGTTATTTCACAGTCAATTCTGAACATCAGACTCACAGTTATTCTCAACGTAAGGAGCAAGTTCAAAGTCACATAGGTATATATACATATTACCCAGGAATGCTTAATATATTGTAGATTTTTTTCCACATTGCCTTTTAGTGTTTCATCAAACAACAACTAACCATCTTGGGCATGAGTATGATACTCATGGACATTCAAGGTCTGAGAGTGAAACAGGGAATGCTGAACATCCTGAACACAAAGGTATTATGCTGCATCATAAGTTTATTGTCAAATACATAAGTAATTAACACAGTACTGATGTTGTCTATTCTCAGTTCAGCACACAGTCAGCCATCATGGACATGAGAGCCATAGTCACACACCAACCTCTTCTGAACATAAGGAAAAGGGTCACAGTCATACAAGTATCTGTTGTGGAGAATTTACAATGTTGTATTTTAATGTTCTGGTATGTTCCATATGGTTTGTTTAGTTTAGGTCAGAAAAGCTATAAATAATTTTGCTTTAACAACAACATCCACAGTCCATCAGACAAGTATTCATCATGGACATGAGACAGAGAGACATGGGCCTGAGAAGAAGGCTCAAGAAAACAGACAAACTAAAGACACAGGTAATTTTTACATGTAGTGGATAGAGAGTTTAGAAATAGAATAGATGATTTCACTTCTTTGCTTGTTATGTTAGCCTCCCATAAGTCTCCATCACACAACAATCTCAACCACATAATGAAGCTCTCTTCTGAACATGGGCCAATGACAGGTAATAGGTTTTAGACAAAAAAAAAAATCCTAGAAATATTTAAAGATATTGTTTTGTGGTCCCCCAGTCTCCCATAGCCATGGACAAGTGCATGGACATGGTCACTGGCACGGACATATCCATCATAGCACTCACCCCCACAGAATATCACATGCACATGGTGACAACACAGAGGAGGAGGAAGGTACAAGAAAATCTGAGAGGAAAGGTATATCCCACAAATGTATCAACAATGTAGTTTATGTAGTGCTATACATACATCAAAATATATTCAAATGCCTCCTGCATCTATTATGATAACCTGACAAGATTCATCTACCCAGGCAGCATATTTTTATCTGAAACAATGAATAACTGAAGCTCAAGTCAAGACTGTTGACAAAAAAGAATAAACAAAATGCTTGAATGTTTCCTCATAATAATTGGACTGAATACAAAAATAGTCTTTCTTTTTTGTCAAGACAAGACGAGCTTGAATAAGAGAGTTATAGAGTAGGCAGTATAGTTTTGCCTTATTCCAGTCTTGCATTTTTCCAATAAGATTTAGGGGCGCAACAAAAACTAAACACTGTTATACTTTAGTCAAAAGTCACATCATCATATTGTGGGCATTCACAATGTGTATTGAAATGATGATTGGGAAACAGAGGAGCTCTTGGCACGTATCATTTAAAACTAACAGCGTTTAGTGCTTTGCTAATGGATCCAGGAGAAATTTGCAATGATTTTCAATTTTGTTTCTTTCTTCAGTTTTTCATTATTGATCTTTGATAGTTTAATGACAGCTAGTCTCTCTATCTCTGTTTTATCATTAAGAAACTGCACTGAAATAGAGTTAACATTTTTTAACATAACACCCACAAATATTTTTTGCACAGTTTAGCACCTGGTAATTGTTCATGACTAATGATAACAAAAAAATTAACAAACGATTTTTCAGTCCCTTTCTGTGGAGAGATGGTTTTAGGTGAATCAACTAAATGCATTTTACTGTATTGCATGAATAGATCTAGTAAGTCTATGCTACAAAAGTAAAGTGACACTGTTGATGTGATCCCTGGTCAGAGGTCATTGATGCCCAAAGTTTTTATTTATTAATTTTTTTCTAATAGAAAGTTAAGAGGAAAGCAAAGCCAAATCGAATTAGACACAATGACATGCAGCAGTGCACAGCCATGAATTATAAATAAAAGGATGAATGTTGAAGGATTACTAATATGTATGCGCATATTAAGCACAGAAATTGCAGTTCTGCATAAAACAGAAAAATCATGAGTAAAATAAAAAAGCACTGCACTGGAAAAACTCGACCTTTGTCACATTTTATAAATCTGTTTTAAAAACATGGTGTAATCTTCTTAAACACTATTATCACAACAACAAACATAATCAGGTCAATTTGCGTTTAGTCCAGTCTTTTTAAACAATAATAGTTATGAGACCAACAATATAAATGAACTCTTGATGCACTGTGTGTTACATCATTTGAGTTGTCCCATGAGTATAAAATCTATGTAAAGTATCTTTAGCCTTATGTGGTCATTTCTTTAATGTACCTTTGACCAGAGGCCATTTGCTCGAGCTTTGTGAACATACAGCACATCAGGTTAGAGCTGACTGTGTGAGTGCATGTTACATGTAAAAACCAAAAGATCCTTTGTCCCTCAAGGGCTTCTCACACTCTTGATCTCGGGAGAGCCGCAGGCCAGGCGGTTGTTTGGAATCATATACAATGATTTCAAAGGTAAGACCGGACCAGATGGATTCTTTATGTTGTGATAAAAGAGAAAATCTCAGGGCAATTTGTCTTTAATGAAAATGCTTGTGGAGGAATTCCTTTCCTTGCATGTTTTATGTTTTTCATTTCCTCCCATGTTTCTCTATGTCCCCATTGTGTTTTCTTTGTCTAAATGGTCCAGGTAAGCATCTACACTACCTAATGCAATACACACACACAACTACACACTACTCAGCTGTCTCAGTAATAAAATCCAATCTAGTGCTTTAGTGACTGATACAGTCAGTCAACACAATACGCTGTTCACATTTAACACTTCACAATTGATAAACACCAATAAAGCAGCATCTTGACTTGAAACATTAATTTGTGGAACAATGTCCTCGTCTGTGGAGTAATTGGCCATTTATATTTAATTAGGCACTTCTCCCAGCGCCTGAATACACCTCCCTCAGTGCTGAGAGAGGCACTTTATACTGGCCCTTTCCCTGGCTGCCTTTAAACCGTCTCATTAATATTTCAGCTCGCATCATCAACCAAACAATAATAAAATAATAACAATGTGACTGCTGATTAAACAGCTAAACTCACACTTTTAAATATGCATTTAGATGTGTATTTGCATAAACATCCCTGGTAAACACCTCTTCAGAGGACAGTGATGCCTCGCAGCACACACTGACAACTTCTGAAGCTCAATAAAACCTTCATTAGTTAGCAAAGACAATTGTACTAGGATTGTAGAATTGCCCTTACTAAAATAACTATATTGGTTAAAATTTCTTAAACTGTGCCTTAGTTCATTAAAAAAAAAGAAGAAAAGGTTTCATCTAATATATTTCTTTCATCATATTAAATATTTACGACAAAAAATAAATGTCAGTTATGTATCATTATCTAATGCAATTACATTCCAATACATGTTTACATGCCTACTGTGATACTAGCTGAGATCAAGCTGCTCAGTGAGTTGTGGCTGTGCTAGTAGGAGAAATCCCATCTGTAATCAGGGCAGTGCAGCAGTCAAGCACACTCAGCAAACCTGTGAGAGGCTGGTAATGGAGAGTGAGTGACCCTTCTTTATTGAGCCAATATAGACTGAGAATCAACAGTCATAAAAATACACACCATTGATTTGCTCACTGATTCTTCCAAGTAAATCTGTAAATGTCCGGTAAATGACTATTGTGTTTTTATAGTGTCATGACTGAATGTTTGATGTGACAGACTGTGAGTGCTACGGCCACTCCAACCGCTGCAGTTACATCGACTACCTGAACATCGTCACCTGTGTGAGCTGCAAACACAACACCAGGGGCCAGAACTGCCAGCACTGCAGGCTAGGATACTACCGCAACGCCTCTGCTGAGCTAGATGACGAGAGCGTCTGCATCGGTCAGTGCACTGGCTTTCTCTTGAGAGTAATATACAAGTGTAAACATACACAGATACTGTCAGGATTTGTTGTGTATACTTAACTGCTAAATTTGATCTACATTTGAATTTAACACAAAACAATAGCAAACCAGCAGAGCATTCTTCAGACTGTTCTGTCATTTCCTTATTCAATTACACTTCAATTAGACTTGAGATTGTCTAATTGAATTAAAACTGAAATCAAATTGAAAGTCTAACTGAATAAACACCATTGTGTAATACTGACTTGTGGTTTCATTCATAAAATCCCTTCTCACACAACAATATTCTCCTCCTCAGAGTGTAACTGTAACCAGATGGGCTCAGTCCATGACCGGTGTAACGGCACAGGCTTCTGTCAGTGTAAAGAGGGGGCTATTGGGGCCAAATGTGACGATTGTATGGCCGGATACTACTGGAAACAAGGCTGTTACCGTAAGTACTACTGATAACACTGTAAACAAGGCTTTAAGTACTACTGTTACTAACAAGGCTGTAATTGCAAGTGCTACTACTGAAAGTATTACTGAATACTACTGCAAACAAGAAAGTCAAGCCCTAAAAGTCCTGCTGTTGTAATTTTGGGCTTTACAAAAATAAATTTAATTCAAGTACTTACTTAATTGTAAGTACTAATGATACTACTGCAAACAAGGCTGTAAGTACAACTGATGCAGAATATTACTGTACTACTGATACTACTCAAAGCCAGACTGTTACTGTAAGTAATGTGTGCACAGAGGATGGAAGAGGACCTTTGTGCGTGCACTTTCAGCCCAGCTTGTGCTTCCACGTGTGTTTTTCTTTACTCCTGGGGAAATGTATCATGTAGCTCATTAGCCGCATCAGCTGTGGCTTTAATTGATGACCCTGTCACGCTTTAACCCCATTACACTGACTCACCTTCCTCTCCCAGGCCCTACCTCCTACACATATACTTAACATCCAAACATCTGACTGATTTATTTAGTATTCTAGGTTTGTATGTTTTAAGTCTAACAGTACAGCCAATTATCTGCTGTGTTGGCTATGTGTAATTATTCCCTGTCATCAAAGGTGGCTTCTCTATTCTTTCCCACAGCATCTAGGTCAAGCATCTATGCAACTGTGTGTCTCCCTAATGCTTTGTATAGCACTCTAATGATGTCATTTGTTTATCTAATAATTCAATTAATATCAGTACACATGCCTTTTTTTATTTTGTTTGTTTTTGCTTGGCTAATTTAAGCTTGAATCAAAGTTTTGGGCTAACAACTAGCTGAAATGACTTGATGCACAAATAAGAACACAATAGCCCTCTGAGCTACAAAAAAGTATTATATAAAATAGATTAACAATTTTAGAATCACTGACGCTGTTTTTCTCCTGCAGCTAACGTCTGTGATGAGGAGATGCTGCTCTGTCAGAATGGAGGAACATGCTTCCAGAACCAGAAATGCATATGTCCTCCAGAGTTTAAAGGTGTGCTGTGCCAACAGTCCCGCTGTGAGGCGGGCAAAGACTGCAACAGTGCATCCTCACTACACCTCTCCACAGCCCTGCTGTTGCTCTGCACTCTGCTAACTCACCTGCTGGCCACGTTAAGCCCCCACTGAGCCCCAAACACCAGTATTTGTGTGTGAAGTGTATTTGAGGCTGGGAACAACGATAGACCCTGTCCCTCCTGAGAATGCACTGCAGCACTAAGCGCACAGCCACGTCAGAAACATAGCCCAAGACGCTTTTTCGGACACACTGTTACATAGACCTCACAAGACTGTTATCACACCAAGTGTGTGCTCAGGTGTGACGAAAACTAACAGGGCAGTGACCTCGACAAGAACAGATGCAGACCAAGGGGAAGAAACCATGCCAACCACTGTTCCCTTTATTTCAGCGCTGGAGCTACGTACATCAAACCAAAAAGCATAAACTCAACACTTCCTGCACCACTGTACACTTCAAAGGGAATGGCTGTAGTAACCACTGGGACATTTTTGTTTTTCTGTTTGAGTTAGGGACCGTTGTTAGACTGCTCTTAATGGCTGGCAAATCAGTAACCAGCTTGTCGCGATAAGTCTTAAAGGCAAGGTCAATTTAACTTGCTGCTGAGGCATACAATATATTCTATTACTTAGGTTTTATTTCTTCTCTTAGAAGTGGGACATGGTTTCATTTCATTATCTTTCTGCTGCAACTTTACATATTCTTAAGTAAATGTATCTATGTGCCCACCAACAGCAGAGATTATACATTATATAGTCCGGGTTACCAATTATTAAAACTTATTCACTATTATGGATGTTATAAGAATGAGTGATTGTTGCCACACTTAACGAGATTTAATCTTCACACAGTATTCAGGAAGCAGATTACTTTATCTGAATCAAAAAAGAGGAAGAAAAGATTATCAAAACACTATGAATATTATATTACATCCTTTAAATATTTTTTGTAGAAATTATTTTTGTTTGGAGTTACAATAAATTATAAAAAGATTAAAATTATGACTATTCTAAATGAGCATTTTATTACTCTGGTTGTAAACCTTGCAGTAAATATGACTGTTATTTGTTTTTTTGCATCTTTTTCTTTCCATTGATTCACACTGGTAGAGAACAGATTTTGATCTGGTGGTACTTGGTAAGGAAGATATTTTGGTGTGAAAAGTTTGGGAACCACTGGTCTAAAATATTTAACTCTTTTAACTTTTTAGTTTTTCGCTAACTTTTTCAACACACAAAAACAGTAACAAAATCTGAAAAACAAGAGTAAAATGACGTGGATGAAATGTGACTGGAATTTATTCAAAACAATAATATATTATATTACAAATGTAAAAAAAAAAAAAAAAAAAAAAAAAAAAAAGATTGAAGGAAAAAAAAACAACAACAACAACAGTATATTCTTTTGCATACAACATAAACAGCAAAAGAAAATCAATAAACTGGCAATAGTCTGGCCAGTCAATACAATGTTTTCTATGAATCACTGGGTGCCCGTCATGGCACCAGTGGGACTAAGGTCTCCAGGTGTTCAAATTAAAAATTGATCTGAGTTATTATGGGACATCTTTGTAGTTGGGTTTTTAATTCACTCTGACAAAAATTGATTTCTGACATAGTTTTCTCAAGTGCAATGAAGCCTTAAAATGGCTCTTACCCTTTACTACTACTTTTTCCAAATATTCTGCACAGCTAATTCACCTTTTTAGCAAAGGATTCTGATTTGGTCTTTGTCTTCTTTTTTATTCTTAAAACTAAACAAAGTAGCCCTAATAATTAAAAAATACACTACCTGCCTTTGCCCAAGAGTGACTTGTGCTAGAAAATATGCACAATTCTTGAGGTGTACTCTTTTATATGTGACTATATGTGACACTTTTCTTTCCTTGTGCAGCCCTACTTCCAAGTCACAAGGTTGTTCAGAGCCCCAGCAAAATGTCGACAAAGTTGTACCTTCCGTCTAAGTGAAGCCCTCCAGACCTGTACCGGGGGAAGAGTTCTATTGCTGAGTCAGGGCAGGTACACAGTGGATAAAGAGACATGAATGCTGCATTAGAGCGGATACAGTGAACATCAAAGATAAAAGTGAGACTAAACCTGGGAGAAATGACAAGACAAGGATTTGGGGAACTACTCTTCTCGCAAGCTGGTGATAGCTGCTGTATTAGCTATTCTGTATGAAGGGCCCATCTCCTCTGAGCCGCATTGCTGTCAGAGAGTCAGACTTGGGAGGGAATAGTTTATGAATGTAGAACATCCACAACTGATCTAAAGAAGGCAACCTGTGATTTATGCTTCAGGTAAGTCTCCAGTCTCCTCTAATGGGGTGGTGTTAATCAAATTCACCACTCATTCCTATGTAAACAAGATACTAATGGAGACTGAAACTATGTAGTCATTTAAAAGTACTGATACTGAAAAAAATCACAAAGGCAAAAATTTGATCATTACTGAACAGTTTTAATTAAAATTAATTATTAATTTAATTTATTTTGTGTTAAAAATACATTCTCTTGTTAGAAATGTTTTTCAAACATTTCAGTACTGTTTTTCTGAACATTAACAAGGGAAAACAGAATAGAAATTGAAATAGAAAATTCATTTTCGGCTCACCAACACAATAAACAGCACACGGACAACATAGAAGTAGTAGAGTGACAAGAGAGTCATTTAACGTCAAACAATTAAAATGACTCAAGCTGACCACTGACTATTAGAATTTGATTAATCATATAAAAATGAAGCCTTTTTCATGACAATCAAGCTTAAATTGTCTGTATTGTGAAAATACTAAACTACACATAGAGCATACATCATAGTACAGAAAGAAAGACACAAGTGAGAAACAACTGAATGCAATTAGGGCATTGAATTTGCAAAGTGGTTCACCTTATAGCTCTATTAAAAAAAAAATCCTTTGACACCTCAAAATGTATACTGCATAATATGCTTAATTTTTAAAAAGAAATATACTTTAAATGGGGATACTTCAACTGATCCGAATATCAAGTGACCCATAGGCCTGGCACAATAATCACACTCTTGACTTATTGTTCAATAAATTAACTGCTTTTGGAAAAAATATTTATTGTGTGTATCTTTTTTCTAAAACTTTTTTATATTTTACAACTTCAGTGTGACAGTTAATGTGACAAGCCTATGGACCCATTTCTGTTGAGTTATTTTAGGTCAATATTGCAGGAAAATAAAATAAAGATCAACATGTGTCATGTGGTGATTATCACCAGAAAACAGCAGGAATCACACATTTCATCTTCCTACAGAGAAAAAATCTAATTGTGGTACAGACTATACTTAAGACAATTGTCTTAAAACTAAGGAAAATAACATTAGATTCAGTCAATTTTGTCTCATATGTAGTATTTTGATATTAACAGAAATAGAATCTTTTTGAACCAAATGGTCAAGTTTATGTGTCAGAATGGAGGAACATGCTTCATCAGAATGCCCCTCATGTTGCAGGTTTCGACACGGAATAATGATGCACTCCCACCTGCTTGACGACTACAATGTAAACAATGTAGGGCATTAACAGACTCAGCAAGATTTCTATCCACGCTCTAAACCATATGGACTGCCTTATCAACCAACAAAGCTGAATGATTATGTTGGAGGTCAGGTTTATTGTTCATATTTGCAGTGTATCCTCATTTCAACCTAAGACCACTTTCAAAAAATCATTTTCATTTGCTGACTATTTAACAACTTCAAAGATTGTATGTCGTGCATATTTAATATGCAGGTGCACTTCTGGGTCAAGAGTTATATTCTTAACCTATAAACGTCTAACACCAAAACAACTTGTCATTTTAAAACAGAGTAAATAGCATAGGTAAAGTAATTAAAAGCATTCATGGAATTATCAAAGTAACTATAAAATATAAATATATATTTTTTATTATTTAATATTTTTATTATTATTTTTTAATCAACATTCATATTAGAAATCTCCAAATTTGGTAAATTATGTCACAAAATTTGAACTTACATAACTGTCTGGTAGAAAGTGTGAGTAGGAAGTTTGAATATCTATTGAATTTCAGCAAGACTGCGGAGTCTTGACAAGTCAGACAGACATGTCCACACCCGATCAAACTTGACCTCCAGTTTCAAAATAAACCAACCAGTGTGACAGTGGATCAACACACAAGCCACAGGAAGAAGTCATTGTGTCCAGTCAAGTATACCTATTTACAAAATCATCGGTCTATCGATGTATCTATCTATCTATATATCTATATCTATCTCTATCTCTATCTCATATTTTTCTCATTCTCAGTAAACAGACAGGCCTCAAATGAAAGCTCAGAACCCCCAGAACTCCCCCACATTATAGATTATGTTCCCTTTATTATGAATTAGCTTTATGAAGTCAAACTTTTTGAACAATAAAATAATGTTACTGTGAAATATTACACCAGTTGAGCTTTGAGCATTATAAGATTTTGTGTGCTGTGTATAGGTCATTCATTTGTTGTGAAGTCCTTACAAACAGCATTAGTTTTGCACTGGGTTCCATTTCTCTTCTACACTACACTATTGCACACATTCCGGAAACTATCACTGACTCTATTTCAAACAAGCTGACATGTGTCTGAGAAAAGCTACCACTGTGTAGTATAAAACTCTCAAAATGTAGGCACTTCGGGCTAAAGATGAAACCTTTGTCAACTCACAACAGTCCATGTGTACCAGTGGGCCTTACATCAGTGTCCTAAATAATAACGGTTAAACTTGTGTCCTAGCTGTGTACCTTCACTATACTCCAGTAAAAGTACAGTTACATAATGTACCTGATTACAAGTACAAGTGCTGCGAGTAAGCCAAATTAATGCTCCCATATTATTCTTTATTCACTTTTATTTATACTTTTTGAATATGGTTTCTAATATCAAATAATAGAGTGCAATAAAATAAATCAAGCTTAGTGATCCAGAGAAGACAGTATTTAATAGTTACTGTGCCCTCTGCTGGCAACAACAGGGAGAGTGGAGTTTTATTTAGGATAAAAAGAGTAGTTGCTTACAACTCTATACAGCACTGATGTGTAGAGCAGTTTAGCAGTCTCAGCATGTTGATTTACTCAAAGTGTGAACGAAACAAACATAAAAATGTGTATGTTTTGAAAAGTAAAAGTAAACAACAAAGCCCACTTTAGCATAATATCAGCTTTTTATCTGCATTCTCACAGGTAAGCCCTTGGTGGATGACTATTTCCAGGCCTCGATGTCTTCTTTCCCAATCAATCCCTGGTAGCAACAGGCAGATATAAACTGTTCCTTGATATCCCCCAGTCCCTATGCATGCTGGGTGAGTCAATGATCTTTGTTGTAGCCCATTCACCTATATGATGCCAGAGGACCCTCAAAGACTGCAAGCTCAGTCTCCCAGATAAGATGTTTTAGAAGGAGCCTGTTCACAAAGTCCCTGCAGACTCTCATGTCTAAAGTCAGAGCGAACACCAGGAGAGCAATTATCGCTTTTACCAAAGTTTACCACACCCATCCTTACTTATGGCAAATGCAAACAGGAAGAGTAGATCCAGAGAGTCAATCCATCAGTCTGGTGTAACAAAAATCAAAATGAAAAAATATGGATGTCAAAATATTACATTTTAGTGTTACAATTATTGTGAGGACAAACTTTTATGATTTTATGATTATTCATGTTTATCAACAACCATGAAATGTTTAAATCACTTTCATTAAAGAGCTATAAATACACCACAACACCAGTTAGTGGCCAGCTTTATGAAATTCAATTTTCTGAATGATCAAATTAATTAAAAGGGGCATAAACAGCCAGATACATTTACTTAACATTTAGGTTTACTTTTTGAATTAAATTTAAATGATTAATAATAAAAATCATTTTGCTTC